TTCGCTGAACATCTGCTGATCGCTTAACGGACTTCTAACTTGTGTGTCTTTTCGTTCTGGGCAGTTATACCTTCTACCTGCCTCCTGCCACATACTTCTGTTACATCTACGTTCAGTTGATACAATGTTTGGCGTTGTGGGTACCATCATGAAAGTTTCAATTCAACCTCTATCTGCATTTCCGACTGACTGTAGAAACGGGCCTACATCAGACGCCTGGTTTCACTGAAACTTTCCTTCCAGAATTATCTGGATTTAATTACTGCTCTAAAGTCTCCAATAAGCGAAGAAAACCAAGGTAAAGCTGCTTCGTTATTTGCTTAAAGATGAGAGGCAACGATAGTTTGATGACCTAAACCACCAGGGATGTAAGTCTGCCGCTGATGCTTTCAAAACTTTCGATCGCATTTGAGGCTCCCAAATGAACCGTTTCACTACAAGCTATGTCTTCACCAGAATGCAACGGGAGCCAGGTGAATCTGAATGATTTTATTTATAGAGTTAATTGTGCAGTGTGGCCGTGCGATTACTCTTCTATTCCGCGAAAATTGATCGAAGGCTACATGCTGACACTACAGTTGATCTCTGGAGTTGCCGTTAACCGTTTACGTGAAAGGCTGCTACAGAAAGACGCCCGAACTCTGACCTGGCATAGAGCCTACGATTTGGCCAGAATGAAAATGGAGATTTCTCTACATACAAAAGAGTTTTGTGTAACTAAACTGGCCGATGTGGCAAACATACAGTCTATGCATGCCTTACCGGGGAGTAAATCATCCTGCTACCGATGTGATGGTAACTCCCCCAAGACCAACTTTTCCTCCTGTCCAGCCCGCAGTCTCACATGTAAAACTGAGGAAAAATTGGACGCTGGTCGCTGTTGGCAACCTCAACGCATCGCACTCGTTGAACAGGATTTAGTTCCCGAGCACGACGTAGCCGATTCAGTCGAGCAACACGTTTACTCAGGCACTGCTGATGACATCAACATACGAAAGGTGATAATATCTGTTGTTGAACCGAAACTTCCCGATGCAGATTTGCTAACTGTCTTATTCCCTACGAACAAATAGGTTATGCCACTCGAACTCGAAATGGATTCCGCTTCTTCTGTTAATATTGTGCCCTCCAGTTTTTACAAACGTTACCTATCCGAATACCCTTTACAGCTGACCGCTCACCCATTATGGTGTTACATTGGCAATAATTTAATCATTCTTGGTTTTTTCATCCTACCTCTCCGGATTGGCCTGGTATCTGCGGATGTCGCAGTGTACGTTTCATCAGGTAAAAAGCTGCCCCTACTTGCAAAGGAGGCAATGGTTGTGTTACAAGTAGTACATTCATTTGATCGTATGGTGGTTGCTTTGATTGGAGTAGCATACTGGCAAGAGCGCTACCCAAAGCTTTTTCAACCTTCTATCGGACGTATACCTTATGATGTTCATGACACCTAGCTGAAACCGGATGTGTAACCTGTCTTCATTAGTCAACCTCGACCGATTCTACTTGCGGAGGTCAATCTGTCTCAACAACCTTGTAGGGCATGTTAGCGAACGATCTAAATGCGTGAATCGATTGCTCCGAATGGGTACATCCGATAGTGAGTGTTTTGAAAAAAGACGGCACTGAAAGGATATGTAATTATCTACATGGTCCAAACAGGCAGATAGTCGTCCAGAGGTTCGTGCTACCCTCTTGTGAAGAGCTAAAGGTTCGTCTTTGGAGTGTAAGAGTTTGCTCAGAACTGGATTTCAGAAGTGCATTTTTCTACGTGCCGTTATCTGATGACTTCAAACCCCTCACTGCCTGTCTAGCCCCTGGTGGATTATTTCCGTACAAAGTTTTACCTGTTGGTCTGAGCTCAGCACTTGCTGCTTGGCAGCACTTTATGACTCAAGCTCTGACAGGTCGTGATGGACAGGTTGCCGACTTGGCCGATATTTGTGCCTTCGGTCATTCGTCGGTAGAGCATGATGAGCGCTTACATAAAGTCCTTCCTCGATCCAGTGAATCGATCTCCACTTGAAGAAGAAAACGTGCATATGTAACGCCCCTGAGACTCAATTTCTAGGGCACAGCATTTCCCGTAGCGGCATTCGCCCCAGTAACGAAAATATCCGTGCCGTAGTTGACTCGCAGACGATTAGAAACTTAACGGAACTAAAGTCTTTTCTAGGCATGTGCTCTTACAACTTGCGATACGTTCGTGATTTTGCAATCGTGAAAGATCCACTAAGGAAACTGCCAAAAATAGAGGTCACCGTTTGCTTGGAAAAAAGAAAAACCAATTGTCTTTGACGAAATTAACCGACCAATTTCCTCAGCCCCATCAGTTGCTATCTTTGACGAAACATGCCGTACTTTTTTGTCAACTGATGCTTCTGATATTGCCCTAGGTGCTGTTCTTTCACAACTACACAACGGTGAATAGAAATTTATTGCGTATGCTTAGGGGAACTTAACAGACACTGAACGTAACTACTCCGCCGGCGAAAAGGCAACTCTTTCTTGTGCTTGGGCTCAAAAGTAATGGCATCTTTATCATTTTGGCCGCCTTTTCATTTTACGAACTGACCACTTCGCTCTCACCACCCGCCTCAAAAAATGGATCTAAAGGTTTACGCCCGATGCGAATCAATCGTTGGTACACCAGATTTCTCAGTTTTGATTTCCAAATCGTTTACCAGCCAGGATAACCGAGTCAGATCGCGGATGGATTATCCCGCTTACCTATAGAACTGGAGAATGGAAGAGAAGCACTCAGTGAGGCGGTAACGTTGTCTAGTTTTGGATCCGACTTGTCCGCCCTGACGATTAATGAAATAGAAATCGAGAATGCGAGAGACGCAATGCTGCAGCCACTCGTGTCTCACGTTCAACGTAGATGACCGCAGAACAACATAGTTTCCAGTGAGTTCATTTTGTACTATGTAATTCGTGTGGAACTTTCAGTCGTAGATAGTTTTCTAATGCTAGGACCAGTATTTGTAGCTCCATTGGCGCTGGTTAACAAGATAATTTCGTATGCTCATGTGGGTCATTCGGGTATTGACCGAAATAAAAATCAAGTCCGACATTACCTTTGGTGGCCACGAATGGCATCAAGTATGGAAGCATTTGTGAGGAATCGTAAAACTTGCCGAGTAGCGGATAAAAGTTCTCGGCCTGTCGAGACTCCCGTGCAACCGATACCATACCTGATAAGCCGTGGGCTAAAATTGCATTTGATGTTATGTACCTCCACGCCACAGATCTGGTGAATAAGAAAATCTGCTGGTTGTAACCTGCTTTTACTGCAGATGGCCTGAGATTCATATATGTTACCAAGTGACCTGTTGCGTAGTGCTGCCATGCCTCAGATATCTGTCCAGTAGCTGCGGGTTACTAGAGGAAGTGGTTACAGATAATGATTCCCAATTCTAAAGGTACGAATTCGAAACTTTCCTCCAACGACAATTTAGAGCTTTCCGGACTGCCCCCTATAATCCTACAGCTAATGGTATGTTGGAGCGCCTTAAACAGTCTCTCAAGGAGGCGATACATGCCATTCAACTAGGAGGGGTATAGTGGGAAGAAGCCGTCTTAACGGTGCCGCTATCATACAGAACCTGTGAATATAAAGCCACATGGAAAACGCCTGCCTAAATGACCCTACGAAGACCAAACGTACAAAACGTAGTGCTGCAAACAACGTGTGCTTTGCTGGAAAACGCGAAGGGCCAAAGCGCATAGTGACATACCAAAAATCCTACGCTAAAACCACAATTCCACTGCTTCTGGGATCACGCGTTTCTTACCAAAAATAGTAGTACTGTAATGGCTCACCCAAATCTGTCTGCACCACTGAGAATCACATATGCATGTGGGCCTGGCACATGTCGATTAGAAGAGGGCTTAATGTTCAACACCCGTCGGCTTTACAGAGAAATTGAACCGGCCTCACAGTCTAGCTCAGACACGTGTGAAACTCAGCCCCGGCCGGCTCCATCGTCCCGTGAACTACGCAGGTCCAGCTGTACACCAAAGCCAGTTGATCGATATCAACCCGCATGAAGCAGGTGTTGCGACGAGGGATTTTGTCTTCTGATTCGCTGCCCTAGACTCATCCTGATAGGCTGAACTTCACTCAACACTGACCGATCGATTAGCAGACTTCTAACTTGCGTGCCTTTCGTTCAGCGCAGATGTACGTGCTACGTGCCTCCTACAATATGCTACTATTACACCTACGTTCTTCTGATACAACCCTACACTCTGCAAGAGTTCAGTTTTACGTTTGCTGGATACCTGATCTTTCAAAACATTACATTCACTTCAGGGATACCCATGTTTCTGGACATGCTATTCGACGGTGGTATCAATGGCTCCAGACGAATTTATACTTGCTTCCTTATGCTTTCTAATTATTACTACAGGACAGAACACATTCATCCATACTCATGAGGATTTTGTACATATCCTTTACTTATACTTTTGAAAACTCAATAACGGTTCACCAACAAATAAATGGAGTGTCGCTGTTCAAACTCTATTGCACCAGGTTTGGCAATGCCATTCTTCAGACCACAAATATCGGCTCCTCGATCCTGCATATTCAGCCGCTAATACTGCCGATACTTCAGTGAAGCCTCCTGGAGTAGCCACAGATTGAACATGCACTGTCCATTTGCACATAAACTTGCTAGAACCATTCTATATGTTCCACAGTGAGAGCATCAATCACAGCATGCCATTCGTTAGCTAAACCAATTCAACAGATGATCAGCAATGCTGTATCCAATGCCACTGTGACTCCTTCATTGCTAAAGCTTAAGTGACTCGCACTGCTCAGCTCCTCTATGTCCATCCTGTTTCCCAGAGGCAGATCACCAACAGACAACCGGTATCTGATAGTGCATTTTTCCGTTACTTCACTCACAAGCATGCCAAGGTATTGGTATGCTTCGAACTTCAATTGCAGCAGCGAACCTGATTCCATTTCACCCGTCCTCATACAGCGGAAGCTCAACAGTTAAATTTCTTGCCACCAATACTCCTAAGTCCCAGAACACTTTGTACATGGGGGTGCATTCGGCTACATATGGTTGAGCAGATTTTCGAGCTTATTTCCGTCGAGCCAATGGAACGGAAACTCCAAGAGCTGTCTCAAGAGCAGAGAATGTATGTCAAAAGGAATGTTCTATTCTGTATCTTCTTTACGCAGCATTGAGTACAAAAACTCGGAAACATTTTATCATGGTCTGAACAGTCGGATAATCTGCAATAACTAGCCCCCAGAATGCGAGAATCAAAATACAAAGCATAGTTTGCCATACAATGGAATCAGTGCATCAGTGGTTTCCAATACGTATAGTTAAATCGAACAGCTATTCACATTTTAGCCAACTTGATTGAACTGTTTGTCAAATACTTTTATTTGTACAAATGTACCCTTACCCATTTGGAATCAGCTTCTTGCGAAGTTGTGATCTATACTGCCTTGTCGTGACCCGGTGTCTAAAAAGGTGAAGGTTCTAGCTGATATCCCATCGGTCCCGGTTTCGATGCCTGCTATCCATACGTGATATGATCAAATAATGTCGAAACGAGCCAGGGAGCGTTGCGTCTTCGGACAGGCAACACCCGATTTCTAAACGCTTCAGCTACAGTCCTAGAGATCAACCTGGCCAAGAATCCATTCAAAACTAATCACGGAATACAATGAAATCGCGCGTTGCAATCCAACCGTAGAATATGTACTTCAAACTGACTCCCTAATCAGTCATGAACCGTTTTGCCAAGCGTTGCCCATGGTGACCCGGTGGTTCAAAGAGTACAGGTACCGACTATTAGCTTGTCCTGAAATCAACTGACATTTTAAGCACAATTTCTCAGCCATTATTTATTCTTAACAAACGACAGTATTTGACCAATGTAACTTTCATTGTTTTCGACGACCGACCGCCAACGCTCAGGTAAGCTGTCGATGCCTCCCTCTTAAAACGTGCTAAGCTGTCTGCTAAAGTATTGGGTAAGGAACGTATCTGTGTGTTTTCAGTTTTCGAATCTCTCGTCCTTGATGTGATTGCAATGAGTGGACAAATTGGTTGACGTGCTTGTCGCCGTCCATTGCTATTACGATAACTGCACAGTTTTTCAACTGAACGGCATAGTTGAACTACGCATACGTGGTTATGTATGAATAACATTAAAGAAACTCATTCAGAATCTTCTATGTTCATGCGAAATGTGAGCAGAATGCAGCATATTCTGTTTTTGATGCAAAAGCGTTCCATTTGGTTTTAATTGAGTATGGTTATGCACAGGTAACGGGCACAAATTGCTTTAATGAGGGCTTAGTCCCAGCAACTCCACTAGTTTCCGTTCTCTGGATGTGTTGCAACAGGGAAATCGGTAGTTGCCGATCCTATATCATTGGAATCTTCAGTGATGCAACTTGATTGCATCAAGTGGTTCCGGTTGTTGTTGTTGTGGTGGTGGTGGTGGTGGTTGTGGTGGTGGCGTTGATGCTTTCTGTGATGATGAGCATGGTTATGCCTTGAATTAATTTCCACGTTTTCTTCCGAATCATCCACCATCTTTGGTATGGGCAGGTTCGCCTCCTCCAGTACCGACTCTAGCTGAAATACCCGACGACGTAACTTCATTCCTTCCTCCTTCAGTTTAGCTATTTTGGCTTCCAAACCACCGTGAATTGTTACAATGATGGCTGCGATTAAAATAAATTGATGAAGTGATTCTTTTACTGTCAGCTTTATTCTGGCATTTACGTGGCACTTAGTTAGAGAACGATGGTTGAAGCCGGAAGTGTGGGATTTGTAATTGAGTGGGAACAGGTACACCTCCTGTATAGCCAGACGAAGGTCAAAAATTGAAACAGTAAGGTTTTAAGTTTGTGATCTCTATTTTAGTCGGTGAACTGAAGCCTGTAGAACTGACATGAAAATCTCTGGACATAGCTGATTCCAACGTTTGATCGACGATTATCGATCGACAAACTTCAGCTGATTTTATGTTCCTAGTTTCAAACTGTGTTATCTTATTTCTTCGTGCTCGAAATAAATAGCAACTGAAGTTTGTTCCACAACACCTTGTTTTTGTGGTCAGGACAGTATTATTGTTAAACTGTATGTTTTTGCTATTAAATTAAAACTTTTGTATACGTAAGTAATCCACAGCACTTTTAGGAATTGTTCATAAGTTTTTAAGAGTGTATTAAATCTTTTAGAAATTTCAAGCCCCTTCAGGAACAGTTTAGTAGCAACCACAAAATTACATAAGTACCGCCATAGAGGCAACATTTCCGTCTATGTTGTTTCCAATATCAGTGTAGTCCATAGCAAGGTATTTATTTCAGCTGACATCCAGAGATTGTTTGTGCCCAGCAAGTGCATTCTGTTACATCTGTGAACGTTTTATTGAGACGATGGTAAAAACATATTCAGGAGAAACATCTGTTAAATGTGCGAGGCCTAGGAGGCAAAGTTTGGAATTTCTTTTGGTGATTTAGACCAGTCATGAGTAGATAATTTCACACGCATACATTCCAAGAAAACTCTCCAAGGTAAGGCGGACAGTTTCTGCTCGCATAACTGTCTGTGTTTTATTTACTATGGCATGTTATTTGATGTGGCTTAAAAGAGTTGTATGTTAGCAAATTTTCGAACCCTTTAGAGTAAAATACGGATGCGGGATACAATATATATGTTGTCTATGTAAAGATATTGCAGTATTTTTAATTATATTCTAATGTGTATACAGGCTGGCACAAGAGAGTCATGTAGTTCGCTGTCCCCAGAATTTGGAGGGAACCAATAGACCAGTTGCGAAATTTTTACTTCTTCATGCTGGACCCTTCCAGACGTCGAACTAGCAGCAGTGTTCTTCCTATCATATGTGCAGATACCCTTTCTTACCTCTTTACCACACCACACTGCCAAGATCTCTTCATTGCCTTTCCATGAGAGAGGAAACGACGAATTTCAGCGGCGATCGCCAAGTCCGGCAGCGAGCAAAATCTGCAGACCCAGAGTACATTTTTGTAACCGCAGTTAGGGACAGAAAACCACACTTTCCCAAACAAAGATATCCCATAGATCTGATCTGAAACAGTCTTACCAAGTCCAATGATGAGTTCTGATATCTAGGCCCATCGTAGTGGAATCTGTTGGATGATAGTATGCACTTCACGGTTCAGAAAAGGCAACAATGGCATTTTCTAACTTTTACCAAGCGAGATAAGCTGTGCCTCTGGTTGTTTATTCAGTGCTATTGGAATCATCTGTAATTCAAGTGAATGGCGCCTATTTACAGACAGCTCATCCAGAAGCCTCAAATCTGGGTTGCTTCATAACGTAAACGCGTAACCGTCTCTCGCTATGGCTCAGGCTGTAGATACCTAAGGATACCACATTAATGTTAAAATGTTGCTAAGCTCTTTGATTTAAGACAACTATGACAGAGAGGTCCTTGCTGACTTCAGCACGGTACCATTTCTCGTAGGATTCTGAAGTAGCTTCAACAAGTTTCGCCAATTTGTTCATCTGAGACCGCGGGGAGACTGCAAGGCATACAATCAGCGGATGGATTAGCCACAGCGGACAGAATTCTCAAAGCGGAAGGCTAGTGTTATATGGGAGTGGCTGGTGGACTATCAGAAGAAAATGACGCCATTGTGAAGCCACTGCTTTGTCTGGTGCTGTCGGGTGACTGCGTATCTCCTCTGTCGTAGAGACAAATAACATTTTCTTAATAACATGAATGAACTCGGTAGCCTTGGCTGGATACCCAGCATACCAATACTTGTATTGCACACCGTCAGAACTGCCTCTTCATTCGGGGTTGAATGTCAAGCACATGCCGATCACTTTGGAATGAGTTATGACACGTACTTTTTGGGCCCTATGCCCATTGCTCAAACAACGGGAGCCATTAAGCACCACAAACATCTGATGCCAAAATCTCATAGGACTAAAGGCAAACGTAGTGCCTAATCTATGCAACGTCTCAGAAACACTAATAAACGGCATGAACTGATCGAGTATGTCTATTACTCGTGAAGTAAGGTTCAAAGTAATCTTCAAATTTGGACGAGTAAATGTTATTCGCCGAAGTGAGTACATTTTATTTGCAGCTTCAAAGCAGCTTCTCACCGCAACCCTGTGGTGTGTTTGAATACAGTACACAACTGACCAATACCCAGCCGGAAATATTTCCCTAGAGAGCGTAATAAACGTTAGTTGTGCTTGTCCTAGATGCTCTGCGTCTCCGCATACAGCGTCCAGCCGCCTGCGTTGGTGTAACGGGTTAAGCCATCCGGCAAACGGTCAAACACACTACCCATGTACGTCAATGTTGCATAGTTCAGTTTTCTTATTTATTATGCCCTTACCAAAATTCTTATCCACTGGCTCTCCAAACACGAACAACGACAGGCATAAACATAATTGCTTGCCACACAATCGTGTTAGAGTGGCTTATAATTGGCAAGCTCTCACATGAATTTTTTATAACGCAGCAACTAAAATGCGTATGCGACGCGACCACAAGCACCAACTTACCGGAAATCAATGATGTTCCCCCGAATACTGAACTGGCTATTTCTAACAGCGTATAAAGTGCACTCTGACCCGTCATCATAAAAAGGTATGAACAACACTCGTTTAAACAGATAGTTTACTGCCATCTGTAAGATTTATGGATCGGCCAAATGAACAACACATCCATAATTCTTACTGACATGCTGAACTATTTGTTCGCAGTGCTGATGCATCACTAAGACCCGTGCTTCAGACACCGCGTGCTCCAAAAAGCGAATCTGTCACTCGGTTTTATTCATAACGCCTTCAGGAAGCCCCAGGAGCATCTCGAAGTATCGTCCCCTCATTGCCTGTTTTACACGAGCCTTTATTATGCTTTAGATGCCCTTGTTAGGATTCACTGCTGGCGAGTATGACGCAAGGCGTAGAAGTTTCCCAGAGCGGTACGGTTCCTCCAAGAAAATGTGCTCCAGCTGCTTGTGACGTGGCGCGTTGTCACAAATCAAATGATTCCACAAACGCTGCTCCGTTGGTATCATGCACTTGTCGTAACCCCTGAGCGCACCTTTGTTTGTCGTAAATTTCTCTCAGAACCGAACACGCTATCAAGCCGTTGTTTGTCATGGCGTCGACAAGATGAACATTCGGACCTCGGCTATTCGCCACTGCACACTGCGCTCGACTACGACGTCGTGAGCGGTCACGAGTGCGGGAGGAAAACAAGTTGTAGTTGGGCTCATTAATCCACACCGGTTGCCTTCCTTGCACATCGTAGGCCATGAGCTGCAAAACGAATGACCTGCGTTGCTTTTTGTTCTCCAGCGTGTTCATGGACTCCGGAATGCCATGGAGTTTCTTCATTCATACCAGTCTACTATCCAAGTATCGTGAGACGGCGCTGGTTCTTACTGAAATTTTGCATTCCGGCTTCAACAACCAACGAAGGAGTTCAAGTGTAACGGTAGGCTCTGCAGAAACCCACTCTACCAGAGAATCGAGCTGGCTTTCACTCAATGCTCTGCGACGGACTGTACCGTGTAACCCCACGCCCATACCCATTTGCGGAAAGTTTTCACGTTCACCTTCAGTGTGCAAACGACCTGCTTCCAATCATTTCCTTCCTCATACGCTTTCAGTATGACGTACTTCACCTCCATCGAGTGCTGAACATACAAACCAACCATTGCGTTTAGGTGAAGTGCACGATCAAAATCACACAGCAAACTCATTTGGTTTTGGCTCGTTTTACCAAACCAATCCTCATTAAAAAACCTTACTCTCGTTCTAATTAGTAGAAAACGCTTCCTTGGACGGAGAAACACAAGCCCACATAGTGCATCGGTCACCGACACTGTACCTTGTAGGGAGTTGAAGTGTCCCACCTGAATCCCTATGACGTAGTGCGTT